GCTGTGCAGAACCCTCAAACTCCCAGGCCTCTGGTAGGGGACCCAAGATGGAGGAAGACACAGACCACCCATAGGGCTGAGATGGATTTTTTTTTCTTTTTAAATATTCAGTGTTGGTAACCTAGTTAAAAAAATTCTAAATGCTTTGGTTGAGGGGTTTGTTTGTTTGGCTTTTAGTATAATACCCAATTTTATTCTGCTGATCTTTTTAATAGTTTTAATTGAATTGCTCTGAGCAGAGTGGCTGTAATCAAGGCCATAAATTATGTAGATAAATAAGGGTGGTTTTTTTCTTGCTTCTGTGTCTTATCTTTTATTTTTTCAAGTGTTCACTGTTATTTTATATTGCTTCCAGGTTCTTGGGGTGAGGGCAAGGAATTGTGTGGTTCTTTCTCTCCAAGGCTGAAAAGAGAGCTCCTCACAGGTGGGGAAAACCTGACATCAGCTTCTCCCTTTTCATAACCTTCAAAGCTGACTGTTTTAGAGATTGCAAAATTTCAGTCTCAGAAAGCTTCCTGACAGAGGATGGGTGAGTCAAGAGGGGCTAAGAATCTGAAAGAACCTACCCCCCTCCAACTTTTTCAGTGCTCTCAACCTAACTAAGAAAAAGTTGAGAACAGCTGCTCCTTCCTATTTATAGTTTGCAACCAACTCAGTTTTAGAACTGCTGGAATACTCCAAGTGCTCGGTGTTCTGATTCTTTCTTCAAGTGTTCAGGGATATCATGTGCTTTGGAGACATCATTTGTTTGGCTAACCTAGCTAGGTGGCAGTATCTAGCCAACCTTGGTTGATCCCCAAAAGGTGAGCAGGACCAGATCTGGTAAGTACTTGGACCAGCAGGAAGTTTTCAGGAAGAAAAAATGGCAAACCACCTGTACAGTTGTAAAGAACAATACATGGATTTATCCAGGAAGTCATTCAGGAGTCAGGCTCAACTCAAAGGAGATTTTAGTTCTTTTCTTGTCATTGTTGCTTTGCATTTGGGGGACTTATTTCTCAAACTGAAAAGTAGGCTAATAAATAAAAGAATTAAAGTAAACGATCCAATGCAAGCATAACAGCTGGAAACGGAAATGGCGGTGGTGGTAAGGATGTTACAATTCCTTTATCTTATAATATAAAGTAGGACCATGGAGAGAAAAAACATCTCCTATGGAAGAAAAATTTTAAATGGACCTTTGAAAATCTTGGAAAACTATCTGCTGGGAAAGCAGCAAGGAGAATCTATTTTTGATGAGCGAGGGACTAAAAAAGGCCATTCTTCTGATGTGAATAAAACATTTGGTTGACACTTGATTTGATGAGGAGTTTATTAGCACACTGATATTTAGTAATTGACAGACACTTTTGCTGTTGCTGGAAGTACTGAGCCAATGATATAGATATTACTTTGTCAAACTGTATTACCATAAAACAGCTAATGAAGGATCCAGCCCATCTCTTCTAGCAGTCATAACATGGGCTTCTGTGAGAGCTGTAGAACAGTTCAAACTGAGGACCCAAGTTGCAGAAAGCCATGATTCAGGAGTAACTAGGGTCCTATTGCCTTTGGATGGGGTCCCCTGATTCCTGCCAAGTCAGTAGCCAGATCTCGGTTTTGCTCAGTTGCAAAACAGTAGAGGTCAAGTACTCCTGCCTGATTCTCTGGGCCTGTGACAATCAGATCTGTTCCTCATATGAAGATCAGTGAAAACTTCACCTGATGAATTTTCACAACTGTCCCAATGTGGAAGGTGGGAGTGGCTAGAAACCTGTAATGGGCTGTGAGAATAACCTTGAGGAACAAGAACTGCAACCAAGCCAAAGGTCAGATAAGAGAAATCTGAGTCCAAAGCAGGAATGATATTTGAGAAAGTGTGAAAAACACCAAGAAGATGCACTGAAGCTAATACACCATGAAAGCTTACTGAATACTGAAGAGACCAAAGTGGCCTTCAAGAAAGACCAAATGAAGAACAGAAAAGAGACATGGCAAGACAAAGTGTTACATGGCCAGTACACAAAAGAACTAGCAGGCAAGAAAATAAGAACAAAACCTGGCAATGGCTAAGAGCAGGAAAGTTGAAAAAAGAGACAGAGGGGCTAATTCTGGCTGCACAAGACCAAGCCTTAAGA